TGCAGAATAGAGAGATCAATTCCTATGTATTTAAACTGTGACATCTTTGTTTACTTCGTTTTCTTTCGGTCATTTTCTTCTCTTGGTCGATATATTCACGCACAGTTAGCCATTTCTTTAATACAATAATGTATAAGATGTTCTCTTTATATTGTTGTTTTTTCCGATACAATTATTTGATCGTCTGCAAAGAAAACCATGCTGATTCATTTATTATTCAATTTTCCATCAATTTTCACAGCGTTGTTAGATATGCATACTTGAATTTATTTTAATTATTTATTATTTTTTGGTGGAATTTTTTTACAATCTGTGAGGCTATGTTAAAGTCAGCGGTGGAATTATTTGAGCTACTAGTTCCAATTATCAGTCGAAAAGTAAACTTGACTTGAAAAAATTGGTCAGAGAACAAAAAATATTTAAGATGGCCTGTCACCTTCTTTTACGATTAATAATTAAAATATTAACACAAATAATTCCACCATTGACTTCAACCTACAAATACAGAATCTGAAAATATTCCACCAAAAAATAATTAAATCTGAATGTATTTGAAATTTTAATACTTAAACGGATATGTTTTTTTTTATTTTTAAACAGTTTAGCGTTAGGTTTTAACACTGGAACGTAATTTGTTCAATGAATAATTTTTTAAATGCTAATTTGCATCGAGTAGCCTATTTTGCGATTAAGTGTTAATTGGTATGGTGAAAAATATTAAACAAACAGTAAGGCATAGTTTATCAGACATGCCATATTTAGGCATATCTGACATATCTGACTAAATATGAAATTATACAAAAATTACAAATTTTTAATCTTGTTTAAATTCTCGACGGCTGTTATTTACGAATTTACAGTTTTTTCTAGTAAACTTTGTATCTCATGGAAAATGTTCTCTTCGTATTCTCTCTTCTTACGTCAATTGTTTCGCGTTCATGATCAAACCAATGATTTCTTTTTTCTGACTTGGATTTGCACAATATTTCAACCAATTTCTGTAACACAATTTTCTGTCGCTATTTGATTTTCCATTTTCTGTCTGTATACATTTTTAATGTCGGAAACTTTTAGTTTAGTAATGTCAATTTTTTTTCTCCTTTTCCCGAGCTCTTTTTTTAAATTGGATATTCTCTCTTTAAATCGTGCTTTAACTAGATAATGATCACTATCTATATTTGCTACTCTAAAAGACCTAACATCTAATAAGTTAGAGCAGTGTCTTGCATCGACGATTATATGATCTATTTGGTTAAACGTTTCATGAACAAGAGATTTCCAAATTCCCTTATGTATATCTTTATGAGAAAATCGTGTCCCAGCCATTACCATGTTCTTAGACATCGCAAATTTTATGATTCTAAGACCGTTATATACTTATATAAGAGTCGCTCCATTAATTTATAACGACTGAGTAAGGCAATAGGTGGAGAACTTTCAAGCAGCTTTTTCTCTTTGCCAGTCTTCTGATTTGCGATAATTTTAATTTATTTGAATTATAAAGGTATCATAGGTGCCGCTCAAGAATTCCTTGAGCCACTGCCTATGGTATGGACTATAAATGCAGAATACATTCCATCGAAGTCAGCTGCTTTTCCTATTTTGGTTTAGCTTTCCTATTTTGTTGCTTATTCCATCCAATGAGAAGGCACGTTAAAATTCTGATGTTGCTGAAGTATTTGCTTTAAGTTGTTTAAAAGCTCTTATTACAGCCGATGTATAAGTCTTCTCAGATGAAGCTCGGGAGTTCACAGTTATTCCGTTGGCTATCTTATTTGGCTCAATTGTTGATTTGTTTAAGTGTTGCGCTCTACTTGCTTCGCCCAGTTTGCGAATCACTTCCCATTCCTTCCGGCTGAAATGGGAAAAATTAATATATTGTATGGTAGATTTCAATTTATTAAGTCTAATTAAGTCCAGTGACTTTAGTAATTTTTCTCCAATTTCGGGATGCTCTGATTTAAAAAATTCATCAATTCATCAAGTGTTTGACTTTTCTCCGTCCAGTCGGGGATGTACTCCTCGGAGGATATGTTTTTTGGCAGTATAAATGAAAATTCATAAAAAACGGTGATAATTGTTGGATTTTGGATCAATTCGGAACTGGTACATCTTAATGCCAAATCAGTTTATATTGTAAAAAAAAGACTTTTCGAGGCTTTTGGAAATTCGTATTGCTGGTGCACAATATGTCACCCTCTATAAAACGAAATATAGAAATCTCTCTCTGGTAGACAGAAGACATATATCAGAGACTGGGGATAGGGGTGTCTACTTTTGGCCATCCACGCTAGATGGAGCTATATATCGATACCATTCCGCCAACTTGGAAGGTTGGTTATGGTTAGGAATTCTGCCTTTCTTTTTCGAAGTCTGTCTTCGGTTATCGCACTACATGATAATTTCTCAATAAAGATGAAACATGTCATATCAGTGTGAATGTAGACATACTTTTAGGAAAAGAGACTGACATTTAAGCTTTCTTTTATTTTTTTTCTAATGAAGATTTTAAATTACATAAATTCATTTAATTTATATTGCACATTTTAATTCTAACAGAGTATAAACAAAAGTAAAACAAGTAAAAAGCAGACATCTTAATTATAAGGCATTATAAGGCAAAGCTTTTTGAACTTATAAAAGCAGATAATCAATATTATTTAGAGCGGAAAAGTTTATTTTACACATATCTAAAAGTTTACTAAAAAAAAAAGCGGTAGCTATAGCAATTAGAATAGAAAATAATAAAGAAAGGCATTTATTTATTACTCATTAGCATGCGGAGTTGTAAATGATTCGTTCTTGACGCAGAGAAAGTTACTTTCTATAAATTTTTACTAAAAAAAACTGGTGTCTTTAAAATTCGTTATTACCAAATGTTTTAAATACGAAATAAATCAATGTTTGATAATTATCCTCTAAACATACTAAAAATACCTTTTTTTTTCTTATAGATGTAACAAGAAGTCTTCGATTTGAAATAAGATTTTACAGTATTTATTATTAGTCTTTGTATAAACAAATTTTTAATTTTAAATATTACTAACCTCCTAAATAAATGTAAAAACTTGACAGTAGTATATAAGAGTATCAAATTCTATATTCTCCTCGATTTTAAAATCACACTTTGAATTTATATGATTCTAATAGAATTAGTTCAAATACAAAAATCCCTAGGAGTTTGTTTTGCAGAATGCAGATATGCAAAGATAAGATTTGTCCCTTTTGTGCTGTAGCATACGTTCCCTACAGGATCTCCCGTCTGTCCAATATAATTTTTTAACTAATCTTCAATCACACTCCGATTTTTACTTCGAATTAATTTTTTAGATATATCTAGTATGGCAAAATAGGATCTTTTATGCCTTCTTCTTTTTATACATATTCGTTATAGATATTGGAAATTAACATGGCTATTTTGATTTTATTGACTGCTGCCCTAGACAGTTCGGTAGTAATTAAGTTTAACTTTTTTTGCAGGTTATGCCATAAGGATATTCTTTTTCATCTGGGATCCATTATATATCAAAAGGTGGTGATTTGTGGTACCGGTTGTTAGTTAAAGTTCTGGTTAAGTAACAATTATATCGAAAAAGTTATTTCTGACACAGGGCGTTAGCATCCAGAAAGACCCGAATGAGTCCATGAAAAGGCGATGAAGTTTATTTTTCGTTTAGTGGCTCCTAAACCAATGGCCAATGGCCGATAAGCAAAATTGTTGTATTTATAATAAAAATAATCCTCAAACAAATATCGAGACATCGTTACACCAAGAATAACTAACCCATTGGTAAGATTTATGAGTTATGGTAATGGTAGATTGGGATAGGACCCATATTTGAGGCTTTTAAACACTTATAGTGGCTTCTCACGATCGGCAATTCTACAGATCATCGCGGACAGCCGATCAGCACGGACGAGAACGCACCGCAGACAGAGCTCTTCCTACGGTGCGTGACAGTCTGTGTAGGTTCGTAACAGTATTGTTTGATTATATCATAAAAAGGCCACTCAGGCTTGTAAACATTAAAATCGGCATTAAATTATTTCTCTTCTTTTTTAATTCTTTAATCGAAATAGTACTATTCTTCAATTGATTTTTTATTCGGTTCCATACATCGTATATATCGGTTCCGGTTCTTATGCTCTGGTGCCGTAGAATTCCATAAATTTGTTTCATTTTGATACAAATTTAAAAAATCAAAAATAACTTCGTTTGTCCATTCCATTTTTTAGCAAAAAACTGCAAAACAACTTTGACAACACTACAGACAACTACTCGTGTCAGCGAATGAAAAACTTCTGACTTGCACTTGTCGTCTGTTAAAACACAGACGCGCTAGGATCGCGTCGCACGAGCATGTACCGCATCTTTGATGTTACCGACTCTAGATGGATAGGACGGACCAGCACAGACGTGCCTGCGCTACCACGAACGAGACCCTTCCCACGGTGCATGGTGCGTGCTGGTCCGCTTACGTCCGTAATATCGCCGACCGTGGGAAGCCGCTATTAGACCTCTTAAAGCGGATCCGGGTTTGTGCTCCCAAATCTGCTAGAATCAGCGGTGTTTCTAACTCTAAGCTCTTTCTGCCATTTTGAACGTTTAATTCTTTGGATTTATGGGTTGGTGAAATCATTGATCCTTACGTTTTTAAATACGATGCTAGCCAAAAGGTTACAGTTGATTGAAAGCCATGTTCAATAATTTTTTTGTTCTGGATTTAAATTGCCGTGATATGAAAGAGGTACGGTTTTTGGAGTTAAAATAAAGTTAGTTGCGTAAGCTTCATTTAATCTCTGAATACACATAAAACCATAAACATATGTTAATTTCGTACCTGTGCACATAAGAAACTTAAGCAATCATATTACATTTTTTTTGTTTCATAATAATAACAGTATAAAAATCAATCTAAATAATATCATACGCTTGAACGAATCATTTATAAGCGACAGAAGAAAGGAATATAACACGTATTTCTACATGCCTTTCTTACCTAACGTTACTCAGAGGTCCGAATGTATCGTCGATAAGAGCCTCATTTAGAGAGCCCTTCATAGAATTAAGTCGGTCTAATTGATTGTATTTTGCGTTAGCCTCAGTTTGACTGTTGACCTTTATGAAGGATTTTGACGTTGCCATACTAAACACAAAACTTTGTTATTTATAATTGTTTATGATTGAAATCATGAATGTGTTGCTTGTGTGAGTCCATTTCAAATAGGTAAAGAAATAATAAATAGGACTTACTCACAATCAATTTAATTTAACTATCAGACGACCGGTTTCGCTTTCTACAATATGCAAAGCATCTTCAGGTCTCGATACAAAGTTAAACAAATGCTGAAATGATAAAAACCCATATTAGGGTGTTGTCTAATAAAGATAAACAAATTAGATGTTATAAATTACAATAATTATGCCAATATTACATGTCTGTGGTTTTATTTAAATGATTGAGTTGAATAAAAGGTATAAAAATTTTTTAAAAAGGTTAAACAGACAAGGTAAGGCCCACAAATTGTTATAAAATCTCTTCTATTGTAATAAATTAATAAATGAGCAAATAAATAAATAAAATAAAAATTACTTACATGCCGGTACTCTATTAATAGATGGATGGTAGAACATGTTTGAAACTACTTTATATTGTTGAATGGAGAACTCAATACTATTATTGCAGTTGTTTGACAGTAAACGGGAAGTTCTTGAGGAGATAGATTTGATCCAATGAATTTGAGATATGTGTGAGATTGTTTGTTAGATGTAAGTGGTGTAATATACTATTGTGTTATTAAAAGTTATTTATACTTATTCCAGAGATATATTTTTGAAATGTGTGTTATTTATTGAGTAATTGTTTTATGAAGGTGACATTTTATGACAATGAATAAGTGTAGATGTAAAAATATAGATGTAAAAAATGGTGGTGTGCACACCCACACAATTTTTACATCTACACTTATTCATTGTCATAAAATGTAACCTTCATAAAACAATTACTCAATAAATAACACACATTTCAAAAATATATCTCTGGAATAAGTATAAATAACTTTTAATAACACAATAGTATATTACACCACTTACATCTAACAAACAATCTCACACATATCTCAAATTCATTGGATCAAATCTATCTCCTCAAGAACTTCCCGTTTACTGTCAAACAACTGCAATAATAGTATTGAGTTCTCCATTCAACAATATAAAGTAGTTTCAAACATGTTCTACCATCCATCTATTAATAGAGTACCGGCATGTAAGTAATTTTTATTTTATTCATTTATTTGCTCATTTATTAATTTATTACAATAGAAGAGATTTTATAACAATTTGTGGGCCTTACCTTGTCTGTTTAACCTTTTTAAAAAATTTTTATACCTTTTATTCAACTCAATCATTTTAATAAAACCACAGACATGTAATATTGGCATAATTATTATAATTTATAACATCTAATTTGTTTATCTTTATTAGACAACACCCTAATATGGGTTTTTATCATTTCAGCATTTGTTTAACTTTGTATCGAGACCTGAAGATGTTTTGCATATTGTAGAAAGCGAAACCGGTCGTCTGATAGTTAAAATAAATTGATTATGAGTAAGTCTTATTTATTATTTCTTTACCTATTTGTTTATCATTGTTTTAATAGCAGTAAAATAAAACACATGTATTTGATCTTTTATTATATTAGTAGGAGTCTCTGGTATATATTTTAGAAAGATATTGCTCCATGGTGCCTACTAAAACCAACAGTAATACCAGTTTAACCAAATATTGTAAAATTTGAAAATACTTGATGGTCTTTGTGTAAAACGTTAACGAAAGTTTATTAAAATTATACAATGTCACTAATTAGTGAGACTAAACCGAAATTAAAACAAAACAAAAATGAAACAGGTAAAAATCCATTGGAAAATTATTTTAACACTGAAAAGCTCTCAAAAAAAATAGTGAAACAAGTAATTCGTAGAAAATCACTTGGAATAGAAGAAACCTAACAGAACAAATAAAACAATCGGGGCTAAAGATAAGACAATAGCCTCCAGACTTCTTAACCAACTTTCGGGTAAATCAATAGAAAGTATTCTACTAAAACCTACGAAACAAGAAGAATGTAAAGCTAGAATAAAGTCAGCTAAAAATCTCTCAAACATTAAAGATTCAAAATAAAAGTTCAACAAAGATACCTAATTAAAAACTAAATCTAAAAAACTAAATAAAAAAGAAGCAATTTAAGAATATAATTTTATGAAAACAGTGTAAGACCCATTAAGAAGTTAAGTACTGGTAAATTATTAAAAATAGCAGGATAAGGAACCTGGAAAAAATGTAGTAAATATTAAAACTGCTTTAAGTTTGACTTTCGTGCTGATATAATAAATAAGTATACATAACATATTACTGTTATAGCTTAAGCTTAGAACTTTCCATCAATTGGTTAACATAAACCTCAATAACCGATTGATCTGTTGATTATTTTTTGGTTTTTGTAAGTTTTTCTGTATAAAAATATATCAGTATATTAAATAATAAAGATGAATCAATATTAATTTATGTAACGATATATTTACATACCTTAAACTTGATGCCTCGCCATTCGAAATTCCAACTTGTGCCATTTTCATTTTATACAAATTTTGGGCAAATTCCTAAAAAAATATTATATTATAATCCGTTCACAAATTGTTGACAGCACGACATGTGCCTCAAAGTCATAAAACGGTCGTAAGATTTGTATCATCATAGGCGTTCCTGAGGTGTTTATTCATTAAAATTAATGCGTTTTACATTTACTTTCCCTTCCAAAATGTTTATCAATAATAATAATGTTTTAATTCTAATATATTTAGCAAAAACCAATTAAAACTTTCACGGCTAATGTTGATTATTATATTATATTAATAAAAATAAGAATTTAACCATTAACAATTTTGTAAATAATAATACCTTATCTCCTTGGATATTTCAATACAAATCTTTGCGTTTAATCACTTTACTAGAAAACCTGGAATTCATATCCGAAGGTACTATTCGTTGCAAGATAATTAGGATGGAATTCCGGAGATTTTTATAAAGATGCCGACTTTGGCCACGTGCCTCGTCTGTTCAGTTTATATTCGAAATTTAACTTATAAGGGTGAAGTTATTACGAAAACAATTTTTTTGTTTAGTACGTTTTCGATCGCATGTTATTTACGGCCCCTCGGTGTTTCCGCGTCTACGGCAGTAATTAGCGTCTCGAATATTTCTTTTGCGAATTATATGCAGCGCGTGAGTGATTTTTTATTCCATATATCTACGAATATATACAATGTGTTATAGGTGTATTCATTTTGTTTTCAAATCCTGAGAAAACTAAAAAACATTTTTGAAAAATTTAAAGGCAGAATGAAATATTTTTTAAAATAAATAAAAAGTTTCTTTTGCATGCAATATTTTCAATTAAAAATTATACATCACTTTTTTTCGCCACTGACTGAAGTTCATGATTTTAAGATCCTTCTCTACACCGTATATCCATCTTTCTACACAGCTTCTGTCGAACAGCTTCTAAAGTAAGATTAAAAAGTGTTGGTTGATAAGGTATCACCTTGTCTAACTCCATTTTCAATATCCAAGGCCTGCGTCATATCTCCATCTATTCTCACCATAGCTTTGGAACCCTCCAGAGTCATTTGTATAAGTTTAACCAACTTATTGGGTGTCCCTAACATAGATAGTTGCTTTAACATCTTTTGTCGATCTACTCCATCAAACGCCTGTTTGAAATCGACATACAAGTTGTACAGTTCACCAAATATAGCTGAAAGTGGAAAATTTCCATTGCTTGCGCTAACAATGAAGTGATAAAGCACATAAAACGGTCTGGACCATCAGAGCGAGTACAAGGTCCGTCGTTTGACGAATGCGCATCATGATCTAACTAACCTCGAGTTTTAACCTTGTTTAGGCTTACGCCTCTTCAAGGAACGGGGAACTCCTTTTTTTTGACGGAGTTGTGGGGGTTACGAGAAAAACTTCAACTGAACGAAACGCGGCCTAAGAAGCAGAGAACTGCTAAGGAAAGAAGAGAAAAAGAAGGTGGCTTATTTTGTGATCGATAAGAATCGTGAACGCACAAGAAGAAGTGGGTTTGCCAAGCATGCAGTGTGAGGTACTTCAGGGGTTACCAGCCATACAGTAGGAACGGCTCTTTATCAGCGTTTTTGGTGCGCAGTTTATCTGCGATAATAGATGGGGAAAGATTCTAAAATATCAAAATACTCTTCAGGAAGTTCGGGTCCAGCGTTATGTAGAAGTTTAGCTGGAGGGAATGGTACTTTTTTGGCGGGATGCCTGGTGAGTATTTGTTCTCTATGTGAACAAGGTGTCTTCAATGTTTGTTTTGCTCGGTTGTTCGAGCCAGCTATGGTTCTTAAGACATACTTTCTACTGAGGGTTAGGATTCTGTCCTTGATTGGCGTGATGTTGGTTATTGCATATATGTGGGCTGATTTATCATGATCGTGACGCATTTTCACACTTTCAGCTATATTTGGCGAACTATAAATAGGTATGTTTAACATATGTATTTGGTCCATAGTTGACCTCTTTGGTCTAAAGCCACATTGGTATTCACCAATCATCTCCTCTGAAAACTATTTCAGTCAGCTATATATAATTCCTGATAATATCTTGTAGACGACATTTAAAACTTTTATGCCCCTATAATTTTTGCAGAGTAATTTTTCTCCCCCTTTGTATCGTTTATCGTTTCTTCCAATGTTGGTTGCTGTACTGTGTGGTGAATTATTTCTTCATCTTTGTTTGTTTTTTTCCTGGATTTAACAGCTGTTGAAAATGCTCCTTCCATCTTTTCATTATTTTCTCTTTCTTGCTAATATTTGCCTCATTTTTGTCCTTGCAAACTGTTAATCTTGTTATGTATGCTTGGGTGTATTGCTTGGTTTCCTTGTAAAATTTTCTAGTCTGGTGGTACCATTCCAGTGGTACTTTTGGACATTTCTTTGTACGAAAAAACATAATCACAAACCCTGAAGATGACCACCAAATCCCAAACAGGGACAACAAAATGTTTTTACATTAATTTAATAAAGCATAAGCCTAATTACTATGTAAACTATGCTGTAAACCACTGCATATAGACAGGTGACTAAACAGTCTTCTACTTCATTACCAAGGGTAATTACATTATAAATACAAGGGTGTGTCCAACACACTCATCATACATTTAATTTATATTTTGAGGACGACTTCCTAAGTGGAAATCTAAACGTCAACATTAACATGACAAAATAAACTGAGATTGTTATTAGTACTTAATAAAAATTGTAAATGACTTATCCAAATATCTATGAAACTTTGCTGTCACAAGAAAAATGTTTCCGAACATACAAACGGATAATCACGTTATTTATGAGCATATTAAACATATTCGGCCGATTAACATTGCGGAAGTATTTCGCCATTTATTTATAATCACCTGACCGCCGCAACCACCCTCAGTTTAAAATTCATGTTGACAAACTACTTTATAAAGTTGGTCGTCACTCATGCAAAAATAATTTTTACTAACGGGAAAACTATTTATCGATTTTATACTTACTTCTCCATTTTCTGGCGGGTTTCCATTCCCGAAAGTCGAAGTAACAACCAGAAGCATAGCCTCATGTTCTATGTTGGATATATCGTAGTCATCCATACTGTAAACCTGTGCATTGAAAGCGTGGCCGAATAGTTCGCATAACTTTTTGGCAAAGCTTTCGGATTTTCCCGTTTCCGTGGCGTAGAGGACTGTGGCCTTGATGCGACGGGACAAAGCTCTTCCGAATAGTTTTGAAGTAAACTTGACCGCACTAAAAAATACCAAAATATTTTTTAATCCAACAAATTCCCGAATTAACTACTTATCTATTTCACAATATAAAAAGGGTGACAATATTTATTTTAAAATAGCATGGTTTAATAACATTACCCAAAGATAACTTCTTATAAACTAGACTGCTCAGAAATATTCTTACAAATAAATTGACAACAACATGGGATTGTATACGGGATTTATAAATTCTTGACTTCATTTCAGTATTAATATGTTGATTTTGCCATATAGCGTTGTTATGGCATGCTATCGGTTTATTTATTTCTTGTACTTATATCTTTATTATTTACTCAACTGAGTAAGTATGTGACCAATTTCGTACCAGTCTCGGATAGAATTATATTACTCCAAATAAATACTCAACCATTTAAAACTAACATACTTCAAATCTATGCCCCGACTGCTGATAGAAAATATGACGATGAAGTCGAGAAGTTGTATGATCAGATCCAAGACATCTTACAGAAACTTAATAAACACGAAATTTTATATATTATAGGCGACTTCAATGCAAAAATTCTGGAATGTTGGCGAGGTCAGACTAGTGGTCCTTATGGTCTAGGACAACCTAACGATCGAGGACAGAGATTGTATGAATTCTGTAAAGAAAACGATATGATCATTGCAAACACCTGGTATAAACTACCCAAGCGACGACTATACACTTGAAAAGCCCCATTTGATGATGAGAATAATCCTGAGTCTTCAAGAAATCAAATAGACTAAATACTTGTAAATGAGCGTTTCCGAAATTCCGTCAAAAAAGTCACTACATTTCCTGGGGCAAATATTGGATCTAATCATCAACCAGTTGTAGCAGATATTAAACTAAAGTTAAAACGCTTTCAGCGACAAAAACCAAAAACCAATGTACTTAACTTTGACGTCATAAACATAAAACGACATTAAAAAAGAATTAAATAATAGAATAACAATTGGAGAACAACTAGAAGATCCAGAAGAACTATGGAGTGAATTTAAAAACCAAGTTAATGAAATCTCCAAAAACAATGATTACAGAAAAAACTTAATCAAGAAAAATTAATGGATGACAGACGATATCTTGAAATTAATGGAACAACGTCGACTGATAAAATCTAATGAAACAGAATATAGATACCTGCAGAGAAGAATAAAAAAGGAGATCAAATTAGCCAAAGAAAAATAGATGAGAGAAAGGTGCGACGGAATGGAAGATGTAATATCTAAACAGGACTTCATTAATGTGCACAAAAACTAAAGAAATGAGTAACATATTTAAAAAACGAGTTCCCTCTGTGCTCGTTGATAATAATAACAAAATTTGTTTGAAGATCACAGATATTGCGAATTCTTCCAAAATTGTACTGACGGCTCAGAAATTATGGAATGCAAGATAAAACACGCTATAAATAATGCTAAAATTAGAAAAGCTTGTGGTTAAGATGATACACTAACTGAGTTGCTGAAACCAGAGTGTAATAACAAGGTATTTTTGTTTCTATTATTTGTTCAATTACATGCAACATCAACATATTACACAATAATTATGGGCGACTTTAATGCAAAAATGGGGTTTAAATAAGATGATACAGAAGTAGTAATTGGTAAGCATGGCTATGGCGAAAGAAAAGTACGAGGGCAAAGATTGTTGAACTACTTACACCAGGAAAATTTATTCATAATGAACTCTTTTTTCGATAAAAAGCCTCAGCGTAAATTGACATGGATCAGCCCAGTTGGCAGTGTCGAAAATGAAATAGATTGTATCATAACAAACAGAAAAGAAATAATCAGAGACATCGAAGTACTCAACAAATTTTCAATAGAAAACGATTATAGATTAATCTGAGCTAAGATACTATTAAATGTCAAATTGAAAAGAACAAAGATGATATTAAAAACACGAAAAAAAAAAAAGAATTCCCCCAGAAAACAACGACCTGTATGAAGATATACCAACTATACATATACAAGACTTGCAAGACTTACAAGACGAAATAAATTATATAGATCAAGCAAATGATTACACAATGAAGGATATTGAAGGTACAAGAAGACAGCGGATGGAAAAATACGGTTCTAACTACACATGAAACCAACTACTACACACAACAATGAAAAAATAAATAAAATATTCACCAGTCAATCCGAAAAGACGTTAGAGAAAACGATACAAGAGAAATAACTAAAATTATTCAAGAAAACCAAAGTTTAAAAGTTTTGAGGCGAAATACGAACAACATAGGCAACAAAAATATGTACAAAATAAACAAACAAAATATAAACATTACTATTGATAGATATTTTGTCATCTGGGTACAGAGATTTTCAATACACAATCAGTCCTACCACAAATATAGTATCACCAATAAAAATGTATGCAGTTAAAATTAGATCCAATAGGATGACAAAAAACTTGTTTCAGAAAATTATTTGACTACTTAATAGCATTTACACAAATACCAACTCACCAATAAAAATGTATGAAACTAAAACCAGTCCCAACAACAAGATTGAAAAAGCTGTTTAACCTATTTATCAGACTAATAGCGATCTTGTTTTGCTTTGCACTTTATTGGACTAGTAGCAGGTACACAAATACCGATTCACCAATAAAAATGAATAAAATTAAAACCAGTCCCAACAACAACATTGAAAAAGTTGTTTAACCTATTTATCTGACTAATAGCAATCTTGTTTCGCTAGGTGATCTAACGAATCAAATTAGGATTGTAAATTTTGGGGTGTTGACGAACTGGTTTGGAACAGTTTGTACATAGCAGGCGGTACCGTTTTAAAATGACCACACATTTGGGTGGGAATTATAATATATAAGTAGCTTTTTGCATAAATTGCTTCCAAGTATCACTAGAAATTATCATTTCACTGTGCAAGAGTTCTCAAAAATGGGTTTACATTTTAGTAAACAATGCATTAAAAAAATCATTAGTTTTCATCGTTCTTTCTCATACATTTCAGCAACTATTGGTATTAGAACAAGTTTTAAGGGAATAAAAGTTTAACTAGTAAAGTTTATATAAGATAAATGCGGTTTCAAATCATAAAACATTATTAGGGGAGAGTCACCCAAATTGGGACAGTTTTTTTCATAACAAATACTTGAAAATCTATAGATATTAAAAAAAAGTTGAGGTAATAAAATGAAACTTTATTCTAATTATTAACACATTTTAGATATAAACTAAATAAAAAATAAAAAATATGCTTCGTTTTTTGTTATTAAAAAAAAGCGTGAATGTTGGGTTGGGGTGGTCCATTGGGTTTCTCAAAAAGGAACATTACTCTATACAACTTCCACAAATAAAATAGATATCATCCATTACTCCACAAGACTCATGAGCCCAATTTGAACATATTTTGCAGTTGTACCAGTCTTCACTACTCTCTGCTTACTTCTTTCCACATACAATGCAGTTTGAATCATCTTTAGTTGAAGTGACGACTGTGATATTGCTAATATTTGCATTTCGAGCCCTGTGGTCCATAACTACAGTTCGTTTCACTGATTTAACCTTGTTAGTAGGGATTGTGGATTGCAACGTCTCTAATTCATGTTTATACGGCGATTCTGTGAGTATCGTGGATTTCAGAGAATGTCTAGAAGAAGTATTACCTTTCTTTTCTGTGCCTTTGGTAGCGGACTAATATCAGGCACTTTTACCTTGGATGTCGGAAATTGGATAGGAATGATTTGACTTCTCTGTATCGGTCTGTTATCTTCGGAATCGCTATCTTTAGGTGACCTTAAAACAGACTGTTTTGAGGTTGAAGGAATCGGATTATCATACATTTCAACTTGATTTACGCCTTCGGTATGAGCCATCATTACGGGTAATTTATTGACCTGTGATGTAGTTTTATTGTCCACTGATTGTTCCGTCGTTTTAGAGGGAGCGAATTCGCAGTCTTGAAATACGTCTTCGTTAAAAGGCCAAATTCCGGTTACTCGGAATCCATTTGTCGCTATCTGTACAGAAGATGCCTTTGAGAATACTTCTGCAACAGCCCCTGAGATGTGATATATTCCAAATGTACGACTACAATGATTTTTTAGTCATCTAGTAAGGTACAAATCATAATAACTTATAAATGATTTAAAATACAAAACATCTAGGGGTTGCATTTTATGCGTACAGTGTGGTGGCAGGCATAATAAAATAATACCATTCTCGAGACAGAAGTTTATAACGTCTAAACTTTTTGTATGTGAACAATGGCCGTCCAAAATAATAAGAATTTTGCACTCCTTTGAAGGTCTGGTTTGTTGTGTAAAATATTTTATGAATTTTAAAAAAAACATCACGATCCATCCATCCTTTGTCCTGTGGAAATGCCGGACTACCGTTAGGTGCATTGTCCATCAGCTCTATCTAGCTATAATCAAGGTTAGAATATTATGGCCTCCTTGGGTATATTCTAATTACTGAACCCCTACTTATAAATGTTTTTAGAATGAATTACCGTTAAATGTAAGAATTTATGAGTAATTAATTATTTAATTAGTTAAAAGTAGGCAGGTATAAGAAGAATATCTGTAGCTATATTTTAGTTCCTAAGATGGGATGTCCCGACTTAGGAAGTTTAACTTTGTCCCATCTTAAGAGATTTGCATTCATTTTGTAAAAATCTTAACCGATATTAAACAAAAGCTTTAGTGGCAAATACTTTACAGTGACATGCAATGACTATAAACTCTGTTATTGACTAATAACGTTAAGTTTCACAGACACTTACCATTAACGCCATATTCACTATAATGTTGTATGTAAATAAATTTAAAAAAGTATGTAAACATTAACAACCTGTTTACGTGACAATACGACTGAATGGCGAGCTTTCATTCTTCCAGTGCAGGTGTTGCCACTTGTTACAGATTTTCTAGAATTGCTAGTGTCCCTACTTGGGAACCGTCCCGTCTTAGGTAACTCTCCCCTAATGAAAAAATACTTAAAATCACAAAAAATAGTTTAAAAAGCTTTTTTTGTGATTTTGTTTAGTATACTTCTATTAGGTATATATAAGTCCTTCACACTTTGAGAGAGAAATCCTTTTAATATGTTCAATAATCATAAAATCTTAATCAAACCGATTAACTAGATTTTGCAGCATAATTTTGCAATCTAACTTTTTTGAAGTTAGATTATTTTAAAGGAATAAATTAAATTATTTTAGAGGAAAATTTTGGAAATTTGAACTATCACCTTTTCTCTTGATAGGACTTTTAGGTAATTTGCACCAAGCTGGAAACAATTTTCATCAGATATAAAGACATTATTAAAATTATCTTTTTGAAAACGTTGACAAAGATCTATTCTTCGTTGTCCTGGCAGAGGTGTCATTGTAGGGATTTTTTTTGGATATCTTGATATGTAGCCTTGCTTTTTCAGTCACATGTGGACAGTTTCTAGGCACACTTTTATTCTTCGTTGATTTCCAAATCTGTTCGCTAATTTTCGAAACCCTAGGCGCGGATTTTGTCGACTAAAGCCACTAAAGCATTTAAATTGTTTCCGCAAATCTTCCGCGGTCCACCAAAAACTGGTCTATGTCTCATATCTATACCATTTTTTATCCTCTTAATTGTCTCATATACTGTACTTTTTCCTAGTTCAGTCAATTGCATTAATTTTTTAACTTAAAGGAAATCTATTAAAATTAGGAAATTTATAGGAAATATTCTTTAAATTTAAATACTTATGCAGCAGTTACAATGGATAAAAAACAAAAGCTAATGTAATTCTTTGGATAATTAAAATGTGTATAGTTGTCTGGTAATCCTTATAATGTATTGTTTGAAATTTATCTGTTGTACTTGATATCTATATCTGTACCTGAGCCCTATGTCATTCGAATGAGACTAACTAGTTTAAACGGAATTTCAAATTTACTTAATATTTTGTATAAACATGCAATTTTTATTAAACCAGATGTTGGTGAAACCATTTTCCATCACAAAGACAAGGCAGATTTAATGAGCTTTCACTTATATAACGTTAAACATTGATGACATTTAAAAAATTAGGATTACTTCCATATAAAAACTGTTAAGAAGCCTCTACGAATTTAACTTAATTTTGAAACAATATTTTTATTTGATAGACAGCAGTATTGGTTCAAAATATGTATAGACTTACCGAGCGATCTGCTTAAAGTGGAATTTCCTCCTTGGCTTCTTGTTCTTTGGATCCCCTTTCCGTGAGACGTCCCATTCGTGTGTTTTCCAAGCTGGTTCCTGCAAAAACACTTCATTTTATACCAAAATATTTAATTTAAGACAAATATATGCAAAGAAAAATAGAACACTCCTTTTGTTTTTCTTTGATTTATGCAATTTTGGTTTTAGTAATTTGTTATGCCACTGTCAAAATACTAAGTCTTATTTTTCTAGTTAATAGCTTTAGGTTATATGAAGCTAAAGCTATTAACAACCTTATATGAAGCCGGTAAGTTGAGAAATCTACTCTCTGAAATGGACAGATTAAACATTACTATCATGGGGGCGAGTGAAACAAGACCGCCAAACAAAGGGAATTTCAGTGCAAATGGTTACGCCGTTTATTTTTCTGGAAATCAAGACCATATACATCGAAATAGAGTAGCAATAATTATCAAACAGCATATTAATAAGTATGTCACTAACTTCATCCCAATATCAGACAGAATAATTTTAATACAGCTGAATGCTAAACCTGTAAATATAAATATCATCCAAGTTTATGCTCCCACTGCTGACGCAGATGAGCAGAATATTGAAGAATTCTACCATCAAATAGAAGAAGTGCTAAAAATAACAAAGAAACACAAAGCAATAATAATTATGGGTGACTTTAACGCTAAAGTTGGACAGAAGATGACGCAGGGCATCACCGGAAAGTTTGGCTTGGGAGAGAGAAATCAAAGAGGTGAACGGCTAATAGAATTCTGCCAAGAAAATGAAAATGAAGAAAATAATTCGCTATTACAAATACCTGGTTTCAACTTCCAGAAAGGCGTCTTTACAAGTGGAAATCCCCTCAAGATGGACATCAAGGCAGAATAGTACGGAATCAAATAGACTACATCCTAATAAACCACCGATTTCGAAACAATATTAAAGATGTAAAAACTTACCTCGGCGCTGACATAAACTCAAATCACAATTTACTCTGCTCCAAAATACAAATTAAATTGAAGAAATTAACAAAGCCAACTAAGCCTTGTAAGATATATCTCGACCCCCTGAAAAACCCTCAAACGCGCGAACACATATCACAGCAAATAAATAGTAAAATACACAGAATATCAAATATACCAAACGAAAACAGAACCATTAACGAATGCTGGTATGCCATTCAAAACTCGATTTTAGAGAACGTACAAGAGTCTTTGAAAACACGTACCATGTTGGCAAAAAATGAGTGGATGACACAAGAAATTCTAGATCTGATGGAAGTTCGACGGCAACACAAAAATAGAAATATTATCGAATATCGTGAAATTAGTAAACGCATAAAAAGAAAAATTAAGCAAGCCAAAGAATCCTGGCTTGAGAATTTATGTAAAGAAATAGAAGACCTTCAAAAAAGCATGACAGCTTCAACCTGCATAAGAAACTTAAATATACTGCCGGAATTAGAAAACAGAAAAATGCTCACATACTTAAAAGCGCGGACGGAAAAATTTGTGATCACGAACAACAGTGCAAAGAATGGGAGAGATACATCACTGACCTTTTTGACGATGCTTCTAGAGAAAATGCTCCAAATACTGCCTGTGACAACCAGTTGGACAGAGGTCCCAATATACTGAATTCGGAAGTCGAAAAGGCAATACAGCAAGCCAAAAACAATAAAGCACCTGGACCAGATCAAATCCCTGCCGAACTACTTAAACTTTTGGATGAGGAAAGCATTGCCTGCTTAACCACTTTCTTCAACAAAATTTACAACGAAGGAAAAATACCAGATGATTGGTTAGAGTCACTGTTTTTAACATTACCAAAGAAAAGCAGGCCCACCAAATGCAGCAATTTTAGACTAATCAGTTTGATGAGTCACACATTGAAGATACTCTTACGAATTATACAAAACCGAGTATTCCTTCTATGCGAAAGTAAGATGGGTAATAAGCAATTTGGATTTAGAACCGGTCTAGGAACTAGAGAGGCACTATTCTGTATGCACGTTCTATTACAAAAAAGTTGTGAATTCCGAAAGAATGTTTATGTTTGTTTCATCGACTTCGAGAAGGCGTTCGACAGAGTCCAACACAATACGTTTTTCGACTGCCTACGGGCAGCAGGACTTGACCACTATGATATAAGACTGCTGAAATACTTATATTACAATCAAGTAGCCTCTATCCAAATTGGAGACAGTCCCACTGAAAAAATACCCATCAAACGTGGAGTACGGCAGGGTTGTGTTTTGTCACCCACTATTTTTAATCTGTACTCTAAAGAAATCTTTAGGGAGGCTTTGGATGACAGACAAGAGGAAGTAAGACTAGGTGGAGAAGTAATCAACAATATTAGATACGCTGACGATACAGCCATTCTTGCAGAAAGTTTACAAGATCTCCAAACATTACTAAATCTAGTCAGTAAAGCAAGTTATCGGAGAGGCCTAAAGATCAACATTTCAAAGACAAACTGGATGGCAGTTGGAAAGATCCATATAGATCAAGGTCTGCTTTCTCTTAATGGAGAAGAGATAGAAAGGGTAAATCATTTCAAATACCTTGGCAGCTGGTTAAATGTAAATTGTGACTCTGATGAAGAGATAATATCCAGGATCGAAATATCACGTAAGGCTTTTATGACCTGGAAACCAGTTTTATGCAACAGAAACCTGTCAATGAATATTCGTTAGAAGGTCCTGAAATATTATATGTGGTCGATCCTATTGTATGGTTGTGAGACATGGACGTTAAAAACCACAATGCTAAACAAGTTAGAAGCATTCGAATTGTGGTGCTATAGACGAATCCTAAAGATATCGTGGGTTTCGCACACTTCCAATAAAGATGTTCTTCAAATGATCAATTCAGAACGTCTGTGTTAAGGTGTGGATTTGGAAAATAAATAGTCGTACTTTACTACTATTATAAAAGGCTTTATTTCCTATAACATACATACTAATTAACTAACCTAACTTAAGCCACCATACTTCTTACTACCACCTACGACTACATGATACTCATTTACATTACTATTATTGTCTGTCATGTCAACCCATGACACTATGGGTGCGTTCCGCTTACTCTTACACCAATATATCTGTGTATACAATATAAATGTATTACATTCTCAACACGCCTCCTTACATTTACATTGTATTTACATTAATTCAAATTTAACATACTTCGAAATTTTTCAAATTTATCTTGGCCCAAGGACTTCGTAGAAATATCTGCAATATTATCATCAGAATCTACTTTAACCACATTTATAACATTTGCTTTAACATAATCATTTACATAATGATAATGAATTTCAACATGCTTAGAATTTTTTTGTAAAATTGCCATAATTAGCTATACTAATTGTACCAGTGTTATCTTCATAAACATCAATTGGCTTTATTATTTCAATATCAAATATTTTCAACAATTCTTTTACAAATATCAATTCACTTACTGCTTCTGACAATGCTACATACTCTGCAAAAGTTGAAGCTTTTGTAACGCTTTTTTGTTTTCTAGATTTCCAATAAATTACATTACCAAACAATCTTATTACAAAACCAGTTGTAGACTTTCTATCTAAATGATCACCTGCCCAATCGGCATCCACATAACAATCAATAATACTTACTTTTTCATTTCTGTTATAAAACAATTTTAAATCTTTAGTTAAGCATAAATATTTCAAAATTCGTACAGCATATTTAAAGTGCGTTTCATTATAGCAATTTTGAAATCTACTCAGATAATTTACGCTGAAACTTATATCAGGCCTTGTTGCCGAACTTATGTATAATAGTGCACCAATTAAATTTTTATATTTAATATTTCTTTCACAATGATCAGATTTATCAATTTTTAAATTTACTTCCATAGGTGTATTATACAGTTTACCTTTTTCTAAATTATATTTTTTCCTTAATAATTCAATATATTTATTTTGATCCAATCTCATTTCATGTTTACTAGAATCATAATCAACAGTAATACCAAGATATTCTTTAATTTCACCAATATCTTTCATTTTAAATTTTTCTGATAATAAAATTTTAATCCTTTTAATTTCATTTAAATTTCTACCACAAATCAATAAATCATCGACATAAATTAATAAGTAAATAATATCATTTCCAATTTTATAAACGTACAAACAAGGATCAATATTACTTCTTTCAAAACCTAAATTTATCAAAAATGTATCTAGGCACTCATACCATGCCCTTGGACTTTCTTTTAAACCATATAAAGCTTTAACTAATTTACAAACTTTACTTGTTCCATCTTCATAACCCTTAGGTTGTTTAATATAAACTTCAGAAATTACTTTACCATTTAAAAAGGCTGTTTCAACATCCATTTGTTCAATTACTAGGCCCATTTGACAACAATATGACAATAAAATCTTTAATGTTTGCATTTTAGCCACAGGTGAATAAATATCATCAATTTCATCAGTTTGTTGAAAACCTCGTACAACCAATCTAGCTTTATAAGTATTATCAGACTTTTTAGTATAAACCCATTTAACATCCAGAATATTTTTGTTTGTATCATTTTTAACCAATTTCCAAGTTTTACTTTTATTTAAACTATCAATTTCTTTGTCCATAGCTGTTTTCCAATACTTACTTTCATTAGAATTTATCGCCTCCTCAAATGTATGTGGTATATCAGTTCTACACATATTTACAAAAATACTACTATTATATACATAGTAGTCATCAAATTTCTTTGGAGGATTTTTGGCTCTGTGAGATCTAGGTAACTCAGGTTCATTTTTATTCACACTATCATCCATACTTTCATTTGTACTTTCAAAAGTTTCATCTATTGAGTCATTTTCAGAGCTTTCATCAATTTTATCAGGGTAACACTCTTCATTATTATCATTATCTGATTCGTTAAAGTCTAAACCTATACACTTAACGTTTTCTTCAACAATATCCACGTGTCTAGCAACAATGACTCTGCCATTTAATAATACACGATAACCAACATTACTATAACCAATTAAAATTCCCATATCAGCTTTCTTATCCCATTTAGAGATTCTCTTCTGTTCTGGTCTTC